ACCAAAAAAGGTTCTGTCGTTGGTTTTCTCTGGAGTTTCCATGCTATTTCTGTCTAAAATATGATGTATTAAGAAAGAATAGTTTGTGATGATTATTTAGCATTTCATCAATATGCCCACAATGCTGCCATCATTTGTTTCCTAATGTAAGCAGTCCACAAATATGCACTGTCTCTCTTGTTTGGTGGACCACAAAGACCACTACTAAGAATCCCCACACTGCACAAGAGCAAATCCATGCAGGCAAAACTGCCAACGCACAGTGCACACACAAAACTTTATACTTTATACAGGTAACGCAAAGACAAAGACACCCAGCCACCCACATGCACCACTCAATTTCATCTGTAATCTGTCATCTCGCCTCTAGTTTTAATTCCTGTTAACTGCATGGTTGCATACCGCTGCTTCATTCATTTTAATGGAATTGAATAACAGCGCCGCTTGGCTGCACTCGCACAAGGCTGGTTTAATTGGAATGAATGTTTAAAAAAGTGAAACATATTCATGATGGTGGTTTTCCAGGGAAAAAGGCCGCATTTGTCCTAGGTGACTTCTGTCCAGTGCATAGGCCTGCAAGGATCACAGGGATGTTTCAGAGTGTGCTCCACTCAAAGCCATCACTGGATCAGAGATGCAAGATAAGCTTTGAAAGTCTTTGCACACCGAAGTCATAGAATGGCTTTAGATATTCTGGCTGTCATTCTATTTTGTTGTATAAAACAATAAAATCTATCAATCAATAAAGTAAATAAACAGAGCCGTCACTCAATATTTATCTAAACAGTGAAGTTCAGCATGTTTCTGGCCATCGGAGCAGTTCAGCAAACATGGATATATATATATATTTTTTTGGAAAAGCAACAAAATTGTCTAATGGTTCGGAATTAATTAGCAATGACTTAAGTCTGAGCAGCAAATCTTACCGTTAATCCAAGTATGTCCCTATTAGGATAAACATGGATTTTGGTAATTAACAGCATTTCAGGGAGCTTTGGTACACTAACATTGCAGCAAAACTTAGAGCTAAAATGACTTCTTGGATAAGCAGTGATCACATTTAAGTCACCACCGTACGTCTATTTCAAACAAGAAACTGTAGAGACTGTACAGATACGGTTTCCTAAAATGCTTACTAGTATGCACGGTACCTTTATATCAAGCATTCAGCTCATCTTAACACAAAACATGTGTATTAGATACCATAAAGACTCATCTTATGGAATACTTCATCTGTAATGTTACAATATTTAAATAATATTTGATCAATGTACCATGTTTGAATAAAGCATTTAAAAGACTGCTAAGTCTCAGTGTCTTTAGCACAGTGTTCCATAGTGTTCGCTGGAAGAGAGCAGACGTCTCTGAGGAATAGAAACTGATAATATAGCTCGAAAGTGTGTCACCTAAATAATGTTTTGGTAGGTCACACCAATGTGTGTGTGTGTGTGTGTGTGTGTGTGTGTGTGTGTGTGTGTGTGTGTGTGTGTGTGTGTAAAACATTTTGTACTTTTTTTTTTACAGATTGCATTTTTCTGCATGGCTAAAAATGCTTCATCACAAGCTTACACTACCTTTATAGTGAACCAATATAAAACACAGAATGAGAAAGTTTACACTCATGTTTTTAAACGCATAGGCAAAAAGAAAAGAAAAGCAAAACTAAATAAATGAACTTCTAAATTAATTAAAACGTAGAAAAAGAAAGGATAACTGATTAAAATGTATGTGTAAAAACAGTCATACGTAAAAACTTTTTTTCACATTTCTTATAGATAATATCTACAGGCTTCTGCACAAGTTTGAACACCCACAGTCAAATTACATATTGTTTTTTTGAAACTAACACATTCTCTACAGACTTGAATATCATAATATTTTTCTACACATTTTTGTGCAAATTTTCTCTTTGTTTGCTGAGCTTAAAATATTGTAAAAAAATAACATAACATTAAACATAAAATATAAAATGTGCCAAAACTTTTACACAGGCCACATTTTATATTTGATTTTTTTCTCAATATGTTACATTCAGCAACTGTTTATTAAAATGTACAGAAATGTGTAGAGGATGTGGGGTGCACAAACTTTTGTACACGACAGTATATATAGAATTTAGTAAACTAGTAATGAATTGATGTTTTTCTTAATAGTCACAAATCTTTAAGCTTTTAATCTTAGAAAATGTTATGATTTTAGCAGTTTATCTTAGTAATATATGAAAAGTATCAAAATTTCTAATGCTCTGATTTCCTATTTTGACTCTTTAAGCTTCAGTCAAACTACTTAACAATCTTTCCTTTTAAAACAATAAGAAACTATGGAACTACACAGGGTTCCTCATATAACAAATTCTAAATACAGCACTGTGTATCAGTAATCAGTGCTGCACCTTTTGTTGATTTGGCTCTGAACTCCAACACATTGGATTCATAATGAAACTATAGCTATAATGTTTATATAAAGTATATAATATAAAGTCCAGACTGTCAGCCTTCATTCAAAAGTGTTTATATCAATACTGAATAAATTATGTAGGAATCCTATCTAAAGGTTTAGATTTGGTTCTAAATCTTAAGTCTGTTGTTGTTGTCTCTCAAAATGAGAACCATAAAAGCATCAGTGTTACTAAAGAAGTCCTTTGTGAAGCTGAAAATCATTCCGAGATCAACGCTCTTAAAAATAAAACTGGCAAAAAGGGTTAATCACTTAACATCATAAATTGAAATGCAAACCTGAGTGTAAAGAACCTTTTTATGGTTTAAAGCACCTCCACAAAATGTAAATATTCTAGGGAAAAATTGTTACAGAACTTCTGTTACCTTATTATTCTTCATAGTATCCTTTTTTTCTACGGCATGATTCAGAGAATCCCTTTTTAATGTAGTCAAAACATTAGATATATCAGAATCAAATGTTTGATACTTTGTTAATCAAAAACACAATGAACACAATGGTAAGCTTATAGTAAACAATAGTAAACAAGCTGACAGTTCCTAACAGTGGACGACTGCAGAATTCCTCACAGAATGTACTGTATGTGTCTCAGACCACACTCTAGAATCTGCACACAACAAAGGTAAGTAAGCTGAGTAACCTGAAAGAACCATGAACCAAAGCAAAAGAATCCACCACAACACAGATTTTTGCCTGTCCCTTACTTTGCATAATTTCCTTCAAAATTTGCAATCACGGCTGCTGTGCTAATATATTTCAAAGTCTATTCACTGGGATTAGATTTAGACAGTTGTGTCTGTATAATATCTATAGTATATAATACCTATACACTCTACATGGTCATCACTATCAGAGCTTAAATAATAACTGCAGCCTATATAAAATATTCAAATGCACAAGTGTTCAAAATCTTATAAGTGAGTAAACATATCAAAATTACTAGACATAGATTCAACATTGTAATTAAAAGCTCACATGCACTTCTGCTGTGCAGTACTTGAACATAAAGACCCTTATCCACGATGCCCTCCTTTACACATACACTGAGCTCTGGAGTCCAGAGGGTAAGTGCCTATATTCAGATCCCGCAATCAAGATTTTAAAGCATCATTTTAAAACATTCAATACTCTTAAGGTGCTTTTATATTTAACGTGTCTACAAGGTCAGGCTGAGCCAATAACCAATGTCCGATCAATCTGAGATTTGAATTTAAAGAGCTGTGGCCTCCTGGGTGGCGGAGCACGGAGTCAGCGGCGTGGCTAAGCCCCGGGCTCAGGAGGGCCCCGGCAGGCCTGTTTAACTCCCAGGACCATGATTAATTCATAGTGGATTATGTGCTGGGTGCAGTGGGGGCACTGCTGGGCTCCTTCAAACTAAAACCACACAGTGCAATGAGATAAAGCCCCCCCGCCTCCCGAGACACCAGGCTCAATTTGATGCCCGCTTCTCTTTGCCTCTGCACCTATGAAGGATTTTTTTTCTTTTGCTTTTTTTCCTGAAGCCTCCCAATGGGAGTTAAATCAATGCATCTGATTTAACTGTTTTGTTTCGCTCGGTCTATGAATTGAGATGTGAAATGTGTGGAATTCAGGACTGAGTTCGCCACCATGTGAATTTAAATATCTTTTCTGTTTTTGTTTGTTCAGACGCCAGCGTGCCGTTCTGCATGTCTGATGCGGTTCTTTAATATTCCCCCTCCCAGGCTGTGACATGTGACAGAAATGCCACCCTGTACTGTAGCCTTTATGTGACATGATATCACCCTTTAAAAAATAAAGGTTCCTAAATGGTTCTTTGCTTTGACATAGGCTTCTAGGTAAAAAAAAAACCTGTAATTGATTCAGGGCGTTAACATTACACTCTTAAAAAATAAAGATGCCAAAAGGTTTAGAAGAACCATTTACAGTTCACTAAGAACCTTTTGAAGGAAAGTTTAAAAAACCTCCTCAATTTGTAAAGGTTCTAGAAAGAAAAGTTAGTTGTATAGAACCTTTATATTATGTGAAGGTTATACACTGACACATCTCCTTTACAAAAACAGCTCTTTAGGGAACCAAAAGTAGTTCTTCTGTGGCATTGTGCAAAGAACCCTTTGTAGCACATTTATTTTAAAGAGTGTATGTAGAGGTTCTTTAGAGGAACTTTAAAAGGGTACTCATTTAAAAAAAAATGGCTGTTTAAAGAACCATCCATCAAAGGTTCTTTGGGGAATCAAAAGCATTTCTTCAATGACATTGCTCCAAAGAACCTTTTCTGGCACCTTTATTTTTTTAAATCCACACTCTACCACAGAAAAAGCACTTTTTTGTATGTATTTTGTCAAAATCTGTGGTCTCATCCATTACTTCACAAGTGACCGGTTACATGGTTTGACCATCACAAAGGCACAAAGCCAACAGTCAGACAGGGATTGCGTCAGCTGCTAATAAAAGTAAAGCGGTTCATCTGCTGTCCAACACACGTCATTCGCTACAGCTGCAGCACTGCACACTGTACGTCAAATGCAAAACATACTGAATCCTAACATTGACTGGCAGTTTATTATAACTTTTACTTCTAGAAGCAAATCATGCTCTGACTGGCTAGTATGGTAACATAAAAAACAGTAATTCTCACCATCTCACCTTATTAAACAACCACAGGACTCACAAAAGTCGCTCTAATAAATCTGACCTCTACGTAAATGTGGATGTGCTACCAGCCATTGTCTAAGCTTTATGCATAGAAGACATGGTAACCCACAAAAGAGCTATGTCCAGTTCATCTTAAGAAATGTAGGTCTTTCATTTCTATACCTAATCAGTGAAATAATGGAACATGATTAACAAGATGAGGAATGAAACTTCAAATACATGTACTGGCCCAATGCCAATGTCAGCAGAAGAAATAAAGAATGCCTAATTGGGTGTTTCTGATATGTACTGTAGATAGTCCTGAAAATAGAATATTTACTAATCCAAGGAAAAGCATCTAGCATCCAAACTTCATATTTTCTAATTTTATTAAAAACTCACAAATTTGTTCAACATGTCGTATTTATACAGTGAATGGTCTAATATGCACTGGAGGTCACGTAAGCTTAGGTTTATTAGAACAATAAAAGACATACCATGAGAATTTGATATTTAAAGAAATTAGCAGCTGCTCGCTGCACATTTGACCATCGATTTTAATAGTTTGGATTCTCCTTTAAAGACACAAAAATAAAACTTGTAGGTCTAAGTATGTTATATTAACAATTTATGAACGTTTCTTTTCAGCAGACTAAAAAAAATTAAGAAGTGAATACTTCTTATGGTTTTTTAACACTTACACTTTGTTTCAACACGTTCTGCAGATAATGGTGCAAAGCACTTTTACAGTATTTGTGCTATGTTTTTATTTGGCAACTGTCTACTTACTTGTGTTTTTTTTTTTTTTCCTTTTTCCTCCCTTTTTTTGTAAACAACATCTTGTACAAACTAGCACAGTGAACCACAACCCCAGCAAACTCGTTTTTCTTCGTACAATATAAATAAAGTCGATACAAAAGTTTGGTTGGTTGCTTGGAACTTTTTTATCTGGATCAAGAGGTTCTAAAACATGGTTGATACTTTTAACTCCTGAATTAAATATATTACGTAAACAGTTGACTGTTCTAAGTCCCTTTCAGACCCTCGTTAAAATATTTTTAGAAGGTAGACTTCATTTAACAACATTTCAAGTTCTCTTCCATTAAATAAAGGGTTCACAATCCATACAACATTTACTGTTTGCCTTTTGAAGGCCAACATCAGATTTGGTGGAATTCTTGGTAAAACAAAAGGATATGTCCAGATAGAGAAAAAAAAGAGACTTTTTTCCTCCCTGGCCTCCAGAAACATATTTAGTGTCAAAAAGGTTGTTTAAGTGTCAATATGGCAGAGCCTTGAAAGGCAAAGAGGTCTGAGGAGCTTTCAAATAAATAAATTAGTCTGACGGCTCGGATCTTTCCTGGAGTCAACATCGCAGGTAAGCGTTAGGTAAGCCGCCACGGGCGTTTCTTTGTAAAGTTAAAGTCTTTGACAGTAGCTAATGCTGTTAATATGTGGCAATCATTGTTTTGAGAGTGAGGGTTTAACCGGTGGGCTTCAGGAAGGGGGCCGCTGTGCTAAAGCCTCACAGCACAGTCCGTACAGCGATTAGGTCAACAGTAGCCATCAGTCTTTTTGTGTGCTCGAGTTCTGACTTTGATGAGGAAAAAGGAACAGGAACCGAACAGCAACACAATATCAAGGTAAACGTCTACGGCCATGACGTCCTCTGCTGCACCTCTGTATACTCTCACACCGCAAAAATCATAAGGAAAAAGAAAAAGAAACGGCAGAAAATAATAAATATAAATGTGAAAACAAAGAATGTGACCAGTGTCCCTGTCCCCTGTCCACCCTCCCTTTTCTGTTGTCCCTTAATTTCTTTCTGGAGAAATGTCCATCTTCACAAAGCTACCAGACTGTGGCCTCGTTCATTTCCGACGGGGCGTGGGAGAGGTGGTTGCTGTATCCGCTTCCATTGAGGGACAGTGAGGTAAAAGAGGGGCTGGGGCCAAACACGTCAGAGGACATACTGTGCAGGGGTCCTGGGATGCCAGGCTCCGGGCTGGGCGAGTCCCCTGGGTGGTGGGACACGATGTCTGAAAAGCGCTGTACTTCACTGGACGGATGGTGTCCAGGGATAGGATGGTCCATGCCCCCTAGAGGGGTTCCGGTCGGTCCCGACGATGGGACAAAGGGGAGGTCCACTGGGGTCTGAGCCTGCGAGGATGGCGGGCCCTGAGGAAAGAAGTCATAGTTCCCTCCGGGTCCATAGTACTCACTCTGATAATCTGCCGATCAAAGGGAAACATCAGACTTGGTTCAAACACTTCAAGAAGCTGTGCTTTAAAAAAATTCATTGAACATGTAGCCTGTAGTTCCACGGAACAAGGCCTCACTGTGCCACATTAGTCACAGAACATGTTACACTTAAATCACAAATGTAGCTGGGTGGGGAGAACAAGGCTGGTGAGAAAATTAATTAGAAGGAGGAGCACTTCATCAGTGATTTTACCTTCACACAATTCACCTCATAGCTGAAGTGTGGAATAATCAGAGATAAACTGCAGGTTTTGAAGAAGAAACTAAATAAAAACTTTTCTTGATAAACATCCTGAAGTAGTTGGAGGTGGGGGCACAACATGCCCAGAGGCATAAAGCAGGAGTGTGGCTATGTTTCAATATTTCAAAAAAGTTTTTTCTCTATTTTTGTGAATATTTTTACCTATTGTCTTTTTCAAACAAAATAATAATATAATAATAACAATAATAATAATAATAATAATAAGAAAGAAAAGAAAAGAAAAAAAAAGAAAAGAAAAGAAAAGAAAAGAAAAGAAAAAGACCAACTTTTTTATTATCAAACTAAATTAAAAAAGAAAAAAGTAGTGCATCCCTGGTCATTTCACTATTTAGAATAAAGTGGCATTAAACTGAGATTTTCAATTTGATTCCTGCTAGAAATTAATCATAGCTGGGCTGTATTATAAAACTGTTAAAAACACAAAAACACATCATTAAAAACAAACAAACAAAGCCAGGGAAATGAATAAATGAATACCATAATATAAAAGTCTTATGAACGCTGAAGATAAGAGAAAGAGAAATACCACTGGAATAAAACTCTGTTGATGGAAATGGCTAACCTACTGACCTCAATTATGGTAAAGAGTTAGACATTAATGCAGACTGAGGAGAGGCCAAAACGGCAGCTCCGTTTACACCCATGGGCGAGACACACCATCCCAAACCAGCACTGCGGTAGCATTAAACACTGGTTTAGAGGCAGCAGCGCAGCAGACTGTTCAGACTCAATGAAGCCTTCAGCTCGGGTCAGGCTTAAAACACACACAAACCCGAAGCACTGCTTAAAGGGTTCATTAGTGAAAATGTAGCTTATTAGCCCAGTGGTGGGTTTACCAGGGGGCCGATGCTTCCTGCCCTTTAATCAGCAAACAGGCGATGAACTATGTCCGAGAAAACGGCAGCTTTAGTGAGCGCACACCGCCAGCCCCGTGTTTGTGTTTTACAGCGGGATCAGTGTGAGCGGCGACATGAAGCTCATTTCTCTGTTCAGCGCTCGGCTGGAGAAAAGGGACAGCGCGCGGCGTTTGAGGGTAGCGCTTCCTCTTACCTCCATAGTAGGAGAAGGGTCCGCCGTTGGGCAGCAGCTCTCCGGGCTCCAGCCGGTCCACCAGCGTGCGCATCCGCCTCGGGCTGCGGAAAAACACGTGTCTCCGCGCGCCCAGCGCGCTCAGCTGCTTCATGCGCCGCTCTTTGGAGCGCCGGTTCTGGAACCACACCTGCACACACGATAGACAAAATAACACACACATTAGACCCAAAACTGTGTTATTTAGATATAGACGATACACACTCGCAGCGCAGCAGACCACCATGCGGTTAGACGAAAAACAATAGACCCACTCGCACAACATTCGCTACGCTGAAGAAATAAAAATAAAACGAGTTGGATCGTTAAAAAACGCATTTTCGTCATTCATTGTCCATAACGTTTTCGTGGCTTTACAGATAGGTGTGTTACAGAGTATGTGTTCGCGTATTATGAGGCATCGTGGAATTTGAGACAGTGTACATATTAATATGGGACACGCATTTAGGCCCTGAACATTATAACCGTTTTTATTTGATTTATGCGTTAAGAAAAATTATTTTGTCATTTAATAAGCAAATTCATAGTCTTTCGTTTTTCAAGTTTAGAAAGAATACACTCGCATGGAATTCACTTAAATATTGGGACAAACTTGACTCTACAAGAATTTCTTCAACTGCCCAGAGTAGCAGAATCCGATCTCAGCACACGAGCTCATCGTTTGCTTTGCCAAAATAAACCGCTTGCACGCGCACAGCTAAAACATATCATTACACCACGCCGAGAAACGTATTTTCATTCTTCATCATCCGTAAAGTTTCATGGCTTTAGATTTAAAACAGTGGGAAAAACAGACATCAGTTATTGTGAGCGTGCGTCCAAAAGCCTAATGAGGCCGAGATGTTGTTATTATCCGCTGAATAACGACATTAACCTGGTGGCTTATTTTTTAATTTCATATTTTACTGGTTTAGAATAAATATCTTTAAACATCCTCCTGTTCTAGACTCACACGGTGACGCAGTATACAGCTCAGCCCGCGTTCAGCACTTTCCTACTGTAGTGACAACATTACTCCCAATTACAGTGAGAGTGAGGCTCGCGCCATCCTCGCTCTAATGATCTTTTAACCCTCCATTTAGCCCGACTGAGGGGGCAGCAGCAGGGACTTCACATCTCCCATTAACAGGCTGCTTAAGAGGAACGAAGCCCCCCACATTAGCCCTCCATCAGCTTATTATTTCATCATCTACAATTCCTCCCTTCATTTTTTTGTTTGCTAATTACTGTTTATTGCGCCGCTCTTTCCAGGTTCGCCCCCCAGACACCAAAGCCCATTGCCCGCTTCCAACACTTCATCTCATCTTCAGCCACATTCCTGGACGGGTTAAGAAGCTGGTATTCGCAATGAAAAGAAACTATTTCAGCTGATGTGAACTAATGTTTCTACTCTTCGCTGATGAATTCATTCTTAATGAGCAAAATAAATAACGAATTTTAGTGGAAACGGAATTAAAAATGTGTTTTTTCATTCAGGGACTGTGATATCCGTGTCTCATACGACCACACTGCACACTGTTCCATCAGACCTTCATCAATATCATCCACCTCAGCTCTTATTTAGAACAGCTTTTGTCCAGAACATTTAACCTTTACTGTCTGTCTGCGGGTATCAGCTCATTTCTAGCGTTTTACTGCCTTCTCTTCTCTTCTCTTCTCTTCTCTTCTCTTCTCTTCTCTTCTCTTCTCTTTTCTCACCACGCACGTTCTTTTCACGTGTTTTTGTGCTGAAACTCTCCTCATCATTAACACTTCTGTAATTCAGAGAACGCCAGTAACCTGAAGTCACAGTCTCGCAGTGAAGCGGCCACTCTGGGGTATTTAAACAGACCCGGGGCAGTTCTCTCCCTCAGGACGGACTCAGAGGGGCTAAACGGGATGGCACCGCGCTGCCAGCCCCCCACAGCCAGCTGGCATTTTCCTCCATCAACCGAGCCAACCAACTAAATTAGGCTAACTACAGAAATATATACAAAAAATAAAACTACAGAATTATCATTACAAAAATATCAAAAATACTATAACGACAAAAGTATCAAAAACTCATAAACATAAAATATTCTAAGCACAGAAGTATCAAAAATTATTCTCAATATATAAGTATCAAACGGGGAGCCAACTACAATAAAAAAAACATTTTCTATGATTGATAAAAATGGACTGAATAAAGAAACATGACGAATTACGCTACCAATAAAATATAAAACGAATTAACACGAACAACAATAACAAAAAAACTGCGCAATTACAGAAATATAAAAAAACGAGTCTCTCGCAATGTGTCAAATCAGGCTGACTGCAGAAAAATCATTAGCATATATTTGCAGATTTGCAGCCAATAAAAATGGGAATTAAATGCATTTTTTTAAAGGGGCTGCATGAAATATCCACCTCATTATACTGCTGGTACAGCTACTACCATGTTATTACTGACAATACTCTACTACTACTGCTACTACTACTACTACTAATAGTAATAATAATAATAATAATAATAATAATAATAATGACCACATATTTCCTTTTCATTTCAAATGATAATGGACAGACGCGCTGACAACAAATTCGCTAAATCAAATCTCCCTTCATCCACACACACCCACAAACACACACACACAAATACAGTGCAGTGCAGGGAGCAGGTTACTTGCTCGTGTCTTTTTGCTGAGCCGTAACCGCGGAGAGCCGCTCTCCAATCCTCATAAGCCTCTCTCTCTCTCTTCTGTCCTGTTTATTGATATAAAGGCCGGGCGTGTCCGGCTGCTCTACCTGAATGACCCTCATGTTGAGGCCGGTCTCCTGCGCCAGCTGTTCCCGGATGTGGCGCGTGGGTTTGGGCGTGGCCGCGAACGCCGCTTTGAGGGTCTCCAGCTGTTTGGCCTTGATGGTGGTGCGCGGGCCGCGGCGCTTCCCGCCCAGATTCTGATCATCAGCCTCGTTACTGGGAGCCTCTTTATCCGACAGAGCGGCGATCTCAGAGTCCTTCACATCGTCCTGCAGAGGATCCTGCGAGTCCGGCGATAAACTGGGGTCACTGCAGGCTGTTACTGAGAGAGAGAGAAAGAGAGGGGGGATTAATAACAACAACAACAATAGTAATAATAATAATAATAATAATAATAACAAAGAGATTATCCATCAATAAATAAAAATACTAAGAGGTACAACAACATAATAATAATAATAATAATAATAATAATAATAAATAGACAGATAGATAGACAGATAGATAGATAGATAGATAGATAGATAGATAGATAGATAGATAGATATAAACAAATAAACAAAGAAGGAAAAATTACACTTTAAATGAGCTTAAAAAACTGTAAATACTGATTTTTTTAGGATTTCGATTTTGTCCACGAATTCTATATAAACAAAATGTAAATTGCCTGTGAAATAAACAGGTCACAGTAACGGTGTGGTGAAGGGTAAGCGGGTGGGCTGGTGGTGTTTGTGGGTGATTGTGGCCTAAGAGCCAGTAAACATTACATATTTGAGTAATTCAGTACAGCGTCTGTGTGTCCGGTGATACAGTGTGTGATGGTTTTCGGCGGTTATTTTCTGACCGATACATTTAGTCAATTATGAGTTTTTCAGGAATCCTTTTAACATTTTTCTTCACTTTTGTAGACACCAGACTCTACATCACACATCGTACACTGTCCAGCAGCAGCTCTAACCGCTGGCCTGTCTTTGACTTGGTCTTACCCGAGAGCAGGTTGGTGTCCTTCACGTTACTGTTGCTTAAATAATCGTCTTTGCACACGAACTTGTTCTCGTCGATGATGTAGAGCTCCTCCCCCGTGGACAGCTGCTTGTTGCACATCATGCAGGTGAAGCAGTTGAGGTGGAACACTTTGCTCCGCGCCCTCCTCACCAGGTCGTTGGGGGAGATGCCCTGAGCACAGCCCGCACACTTAGTGCCGAAGCGCCTGCACAAGGGACACACACACACACAGGTGGGGACACAGTCAGCACGGCCTCAGCAAGGGAATTATTCATTATTACTTTTAAAAAGTGAAACTCATAAAAAACTCGCAGATTTTATCCACTTGTAGTTGTTTCATTTTTTCTCTATTAAGAAAAGGTTGTGCATAAAATAAACACCACAAACTGACGCATAAATAAACTCTTTTGACAAATGAAGATAAGTACAAAGAGAAAAAAAAATCAGGAATGCAAAATGGCGATATCGCAAAAAAAAACTTGCAGTTGTAAAATAGCGCTAAAACAACGAAAGAAAGGGATAAATGCGAGAGTGGATAATAGAGGCTGCAGGCCTGTAAACGTTTTAAACAGCATCTGCGCAACTAAAACGGGGATAAACGGGCGATTCCCCCAATACACACGACCTCCTCTGCCTATCAGTGTGGACTGGCAGTTTGTGCGCGCAGATTGTTGATTCTCAGTCTGTCGGTTTCCACCTCAAAGTGGTTTACTATTCAAATCCACTTATCACATCTCGGCTCGGAGCAGGGCAAACACACACACACACACACTCGTACCCGGACAGGGCATTGATCCTTAAACACAAAGTGTGATTTCCTTTAGAGTGTACAGACTCGTGGTGCTATCTGTTCTCCATTTTGCATGACAATTCAAATTAACAAGCTTTTAATTAATGGCTGTGCTAATCAAAGAGTCCAGCATGCTAACCTTCTTGTCAAGTCTTCCTCTCACACCCACAGTGGGAGCCGGTAAATCAAAAGGGACTTATTTGTGCGTTTTTCCTTACTAGAAAAATTGCAATAACTAAATTTATTACTATCACTAATAATAGAGAGCAATGAGTCTTTGTGTAGTGAAGTGGCTAAATGCTAATTGCTACATCTAACAAAAGAAAGAATACTACACTCATAGCGCACTCATTTACTTAGTGTATTTGGACATGTCTGTGAAAAATAAATATCAGGTCTAATAATAAATCAGTTTAACAGGAAGACTTCAGTTTAGCCCAGTGCTGCCATTACAACACATTTACTTAAGTGTTTTGATGAAAATATTTCTTATAAGAGAAAAAAAAATATTATAATATAAATATCAGCAATAATACAAATATTATCTGTAATAACATATTAGCTATAATAATAAAACAGCAGCTGAAATGATATAATTGTACAACGAAACGGAGCGTCACCAACTCTTCACTGATAACTGATGAAGGCCTACAAATACATGCTGAATACAAACTGGGTGACCACAGTCTTGTCCGGAGAGGTTCAGTCTCCCCCAAAAAACTCCTCCAGGCGCTGCTGAGGCCCACCACTCACCTAAAGAAGTCGTTTTTGCAGTAGAGCTTTCCCTCCCTCGAGAAGCATTTCTCCGTTAGGTTGCATTTACACTCGCAGCACTGCACACACTTGATGTGCCACGCTCTGTCCAGCACGTTCAGCAGGAACCTGTCCAGTATCGGCCTCTCGCAGCCCGCGCAGTGGACCATCGTCTCCGGTAACGGACCGATAGCTCTAGCTCTGGGGGGTGTCGTTGGTTTGGCTTGGGTTTGTTTGATTGTTTTTTGTTTGTTTGTTCCTCCACAGCACGAGAAGCCTCTCTCCGTATCTCACACAGGCAAAGAGAAAACTGCCCCTTACTCCAGGTCCCCCCTCTCTGCCAGTCTCCGCGAACAGCTGCGGTGCGTTCAGACCCCCCCCCCAGATGTGGGCAGATGTGGTCAGGAAAAGCTCCTGAACGAGCAGGCCGGGGCTTCTCGCTTGTGTGAGGTAGTTGCCAAAGCGCGTGAAAACCTCAGTGGTCCGTCATGTCCGTCTGCTCTCTCTCTCTCTCTCTCTCTCTGTGTGTGTGTGTGTGTGTGTGTCTCGCTCTCTCTCTCTCTTCACACACGTAAATAAATAAAAGCCCCGCGGCACGTGGGCGACGTTACACCACCGAGCTGGCACGCGCTAAACGAAAAGCAGCATGGCCGTCCCTGTCGGAGTGAAAGAGCTGCAGAACAGGAGGAAAAGAGAAGAAAAAGATGCTGAAGGCTGACGGCGCGGCTAATGCAGCCGGTCTCTGACGGCGGCAGCGCGCGAGAAGACGCACAAGCTCGTGCACGCGTCCATTGATCCAGACAAACCAGCAGAAAATCCCTCAAAAATAAATCAGTTTCAGTAAAGTCCCACTTCTCCAAAAACAAAAGCGTGCCTCTCCCTCCGCCTCTCCGCGGCGCGTCTTGTTTAGTATGTTTCTCTTCTTATTTTGTTGTTGTTTTTGTTGTTGTTTTGTCGCTGTGCTAACAGGCGCGCGTGCCGTGTTCCCCTCTCTCACTCACTCGCACTCGCGCGGCCCTCTCGAGCTGATCTGATCTGCGCGGCGCCCGACGCGCGCGAGCCGCCCTTATTCACGGGCCCGTGACGTCACGGCGGAGCGAGGCCAATCGGCGCCGCTTCATACGCCGCGCGCGCCGAGCGACCGGACCGACACCACGGCGTCCGCGAGAATCCGCCGCAGCGCGCGCTGCTATTTATAGGGAGAGATGCGCGAGAAAGCGGAGTGTCAAAAACAAAACAGAAAAAGAACGAAAAGAAAAAAGAAAAAAAGAAGGAAGGAGGGAAGAAAAAGCAAACGCGGTTAGAGAAAACAAGGAGAGATGAAGAGAAGATGCAAACGATTCCAGTCTGATTCTGTCCTCTTCTTCATCTTTTTTACTTTCATTTTTCTGGTGATGATTTCTGTTTTTTCACACGGATGCGGAGCACGCGGGGCTGCTGAACGCTTTGCTGATGTGAGGTAGGTATCAGACTTCATATCAATCCATTTAACACTTTACTGACTGCGAAATGCTCAATGTTCTCAGTGAGGTAACAGTCATAACGGGGCCTTTTGGGACGGATAACGCCAAATACACCCATTAATATGACTGATATTTCTTAATAAGATTGATATTTACTCATCAGCTATATATTTTTCAGTAGAATGTATATTTTTCTCATGCAAGAGGCTGCAAAAGCTAATACAGCATTTCAAAATTGTGCTATTAAATCTTATTTATAATGTCATAATGAAATTAGTGAAGCTGTTCGTTTTCTTATTTGATTTACGAGATAGAATAGTGGTCAAAAGCTTTGTTATTTTTATGTATTATTGGGTTATTTTAAAACAAGAGTTAGCGAACGTCGTTGTTTATAAACAGAAGTTAGTTGTTTCTAAAGTCTTTTATCTGCAAAATTTTGTTTATATTTTTTTCTTTCTAACTTTCAATTTCTCCTATTGTTCCTGTTCCATGTCCAAAATAAATCATTATCATTACAATATTTTATAACAAACCCGTTAACCTTGTCTTCTTGTGAATATAGCACCCCCGTAGGTGCACGTGCTTCCCTCAGACTTTAACTCTGTCTCATCACTGCACGTGTGAATGAATCAACACACTCCACAACCTGCTCTCCGCCTTTGCTCCTTTGTCCACACGGAGAAAGCGAAAGACGAGGAGGCTCTAAAGTTTACAGCCCGCTGGATCATCCTAATGGCCCATACACACACGCGCGCACCCCCGCACACTCACACACACCTCACATAGTTTAATTAGTCCAGCTCGAGCCGCTCACCCGAGGCTCCAATATACAAATGAGTAAATTACTCTCTTTCACATTCCTGAGAGTCAGCTGACCTTTTTCTGCACTTCTGTCTTTATATTCGATTGTCCGGTTAAGCTGTCCTTCCTCACTCAGCGCTGCTGAATGACCGGTAGTCCGAACGTGAGCGTAACTGCGTGATTTCTCCGCGCGCTTCCTAAAGCAGGACAGCCTGTGTCTCAAACCCCAACCTGCAGCGCAAACGGAGTGCAGCTAATCTCACTCTCTTACATCATCAGCCAGTACACACCTCTGCCTTCACTTCATCACACACACACGCGCGCGCGCACACACACACACATACGCACGCATGCATGGCAGACTGAAGGACATCTTTTGAGTTATTTATATTCTGGCTGCGTTTACAGCCCAAACGCTCCAGACTGGAATCTGGAATCAATACCGAGAGGCTCTGGGTGCATATGGGCTGCTTCTCATGTAAAGTGGAGGGGGGCAGCTAGGACCCCCGAGACGGGGCATTAAAGCAACACATGTATGTGTGTGTATATATATATATATATATATATATATATATATATATATATATATATATATATATATATATATATTAGTTCCTCTTTTTTTGTAAAACTGTAAATTTAAATAACGTTCATTTAAAACCAATTGTTGTTGAATAATACGGTTATTTTTTTCCATTTGTTTGCTCTCACTTTACAGTGGACTTACAAGCGATACAGCATATAATCAGTCAATTGAGGAAAAAACATCCAAAACAACAGCAGCAACAAAAACGCAAGTACAAAAACTAAAACAACACAATAACATCTATAAAAATAACATAAACCAACAGCTCACGACATTAATAATAATAATAATAATAATAATAATAATAATAATAATAATAATAATAATGTTTATTCACTGCAGACTTTATTTTAACTGGAAATTTAAACTGTAGTGAAGTGCTGTAATAATGTTGTGAAAGTACTGAACGCTGTGAACGAGGCCTTATAATGAACTCCAGTGTCCGAGCTGTGGGATAACAGTGAGAACAGTGGGATAGTGTGGTAACCTACACTGGACTAAAACTGCTCCTCTGCCTGTAGTGGCTGAGTTGGAGAAAAGACAGTGCTAGAGGGAGCTATCGATCGAGAAATACTCACAGCGCCTGTCCTGCCTCCCCTGCTCTCACTGTGGGAACAGTCAGAGTGCAGTGTGGGCATCACTCTTCACTGCTGCTCCTTTCCATCCACACGGTGTCTAATGCAGCCTGTTCCACTGCAAATAACCCACTTCTATACTTCATTAGAGCCCATCAGTAAACTCTGCATACAGGATCTGAATCACTCTTACTGTAGACCTTATACACTTTTATTAGCGTTTTTTCAGGTTTAGAGCCGCAAAAATCACACTCGAAAGCTTTTCTAGTCGTCATTTATAAAGCAGTACTGTATGATTCTGAATTAAATTCAGATAAATGTTACTTAATGCTGGAAAACCTGGAAACAAAATCACATTGCTGAATAAAAATGTTCTGGAAGAAAAAATAAGCAATAATAATAATAAAAAAATAAAAAATTAAATAATAATAATAATAATAATAATAATAATAATAATAATATTAAATGTATAATAATAAACGAATAATAATAATAATAATAACATTAAAAAATCGAAATTTTCAATAACGAACAAAATGTTATGATAAGGACTGTGACATTTTAAAATAAGAGGTGTGGCTGCTCCAACGTGTCACTCAACAGAGTTAACCTAACGAGGCCTAAAGTTAAATTAGAAAATAATTATGATTATAGACTACAGATCATAAATAATTATGACAGAAAATAATTAAAAACGAAAGCACGTGATAAAATGATAAAATAATAATAATACAATATAGTGACATTTCAATTTTGCTTATTTTATTTTAATTTGTAATGTCTCTACAGTTTGCACTCCTTTGTGTGTGTGTGTGTGTGTGTGTGTGTGTGTGTGTGTGTGTGTGTGTGTATGTGTGTGTTTCTGAGGGAGAGAGAGAGAGAGAGAGAGAGACTCCGGTAATAAAGTGTGACATATCAGGCCTGACTCGCTCTCTGATCAGCACGGGAAGGGGGTGGGGGTGTCGGTGTTTGGGGCCCAGACTCGTCCTGCACGAGCTCAAACGGCCTGCACGCGTAGATGAAGAAGCTCGACTCCGCTTTAATAATAATAGTGAGTCTATGATGACGCGCTGACGGAAAAGATATAAACACTCAGAGTCGATTCACACCAATCAGGTCCAAATACTGCGCCACGTGCTGCTCTGTTTACTAATGATCGGAAAAGCCAGAGTTCAACTAAACCAGCCACCGCTGAACTGCCCCCTCTCTCCCTCAGAGTGGGCTTTAGCGCTCATAACATCACAACAAAAAATAAGCATAAACGTGTCAAATTTATTCAGAATCACAATCACAGAGCACACCTTTAAATTAAATATATTACATATAAGAAGGTTAACTATATGTCAATATTACTTGCGCGTATGCTTAAACACAGAGTAACACGGTGTTGTAAATAAATACATTAAAAAATAATAAACACTAGGGAACTAAATATAAACCTACAGAAAGCCACGAAGGTCATACTATTTTTTATGGATATCTTCGGCACCGTGCTCTGTGCTCGAGCACACGCGTGTGCGCGCTTGAATATTTAGGCAGTGCGGCCCCAGGTGAAAAGTGGCTGAAGCGCGCGCCTGGTTCTGCTTTGCACCGGAACAGCTTTATGTCTTTATTTTGGTAGCGCGCTTCGGGCCGGCTGTCCATCACTAGGGCCTGGGGTAGAGGCTGGACTGAGGGCTGGACACAGCATCAGCTAATACTGCATACTGTGCTGCTGTAGCTGCACATCTCCCTTTGTCAGATATATACAGATTCCAAAAGGAGAGCTCTCTGTGTGGAAGAGCCTGCTTTAATCACTCTTAAAGTAATGTCAGATTAATTAAACAGCATGACCAGTTCACAGGACGATGTCAGCCTAGGTGTGTCCAGCAGTAAAGTACCAGAGATACATTCAGACCTCCTTAGGTGGGGCTCTTTGGAGGCAAAGGCCACACAAACGAATGTCAGTATTGACCCCAACTCAACATAAACGTTTTTCCTGACTGTCCAACTCTGCTTCAGACTGGCGAGAGAAATCCAATTGAGCTTATAGATCCGCTCCGGCCGTCCTATCACTGGAGCAGCTGTTATTTCCCCCCTCAAACCCAATAATCAAACCCAGACATGATGCCTTTACATACCACTTTCAACAATGCATGCTTGTTCTTGTTGGTCTCATATCCACCGATCATATGTAGAGTCTTGATCAGACAAGCATGCATAAGACTAGAGAACCACACATTCAAATAGTATATG